AGCCTTCTGGTGTGTCTACCACACCTCCCAGTTTGGTGTCATCAGCAAACTTGCTGAGGGTACATTCTAACTCTTCATCCAGGTCGTTGATGAAGAAGTTAAACAAGACTGGGCCCAGTACTGACCCCTGGGGGACACCACTAGTTACCAGCCTCCAACTAGACTCAGCGCCGCTGATGACAACCCTCTGAGTTCTGCCGTTCAGCCAGTTCTCTGTCCACTTCACCGACCACTCATCCAGCCCACACTTCCTCAGCTTCCCTAGGAGGATGTTATGGGAGACTGTGTCGAAAGCCTTGCTGAAGTCAAGGTAGACAACATCCACGGCTCTCCCTTCGTCTACCCAGCCAGTCATGTCATCGTAGAAAGCTATTAGATTGGTCAGGCATGATTTCCCCTTGGTGTATTTAAATGAGATTCACAGCAGTGTATTTTATTGACTTTGAGAGACAGATTCAGAAAAAGAGGATTACCAAGCCGAGACTAATAGCTGCATTCAACATACTCATATTTACACTAGTTTGCATTTTAAAAAAGAACCCGATCTGTAGGGGGAAAATAGTACTTAGACACACCTTACTTTATTGTGTAGTGCCACCTAGGGGTTAAAAGCTTGTAAACTGATTGAGAGTGGTGAAGGATGGGAAGCCCTATTAATAGCAGAGTTACATAATGTCATTTGTATTTTGGAATTTACTAGGCCAACAAAGTGCTGCCGAGATTTCCATCCTGTTGTATCTGGCAAAAGAATTGTAACTTTGACAGTTCCCTTTGGAGCTGCCCATACTCTCCTCTCTCTTCCACAGTCTGGCAATGATGGGGGATGTCACAAACCCTGATTTTCTCCTCTACTAGCCAGGTCTTGCTCGTTTCATCAGTGGAGAGGTTATCTACATCTACTGCTGCAAGGCCAGGTAGGAGGTTGCAGTCTTGCTGGTTTTGAGTCTGCAAGAACTTGAAACAAAGCCTTGAAAAGTTTGCTTTGTGAGCCCAAAATCAGAGAGGAAACCCTGGCCTACTTCTGCTTAGTCTGGTCTGCTAGAGGAAGGTGCTGTACAAGGGAGGAAGAAGATGCTGGGACTACTCTCTGTCTGTGAGCAGATATGCTTTATTCCTCCTGAAAGTTGTCCCCCGCCTCCTTGCACATTACGAGTTACAGTTGGCTTGTTTTGGCTTCTCTTGATTTAGCCTAGAAATGGGCAAAAGAAACCTAGAAAAGTCTGCCCATCTCTGTACCATGTTTGTTTATTCAAACTGAGTTTTGGGCTAAAAGTCTGAGTTGTGGTCATTTCTTTCCTGAAAAACCAAAACTGCAGGAGAAGTAATATTTTAGGAGAAATGTTTTTTTCACACACTTTTTTTATTCTCTCAGATGGTATTTGATTTTATTCTGTATCTTCCACAGCAGGTGGCGTACCTGCCTCACTGAGACCAGAGACTCTTTCTATGATCTACTCACTTGGCAAGATCTGCTACACCTCAGGCAGAATGCAAATTATACATGCGTGTAGTCAAGAAATGCTCTGCCCTGTCCTTAGAGGAAGGTAATGATGCTGTCACTGTGGGAAACCATATAATTTGAGACAGAACAGCACTGTCTCATGACCCTGAAAGATCAGCGCATCCTGCTCCTCCCTTCTCTGTTCTCATGAGAGAAGCTGTTTTCACACATCCAGCTGCAAAAGATCCTGGAAAACAGCAACTGTGAACTGGCATTCGCAAAGCCACGAATCCAAAGCTGACTGGCTCTAGTAACTATTGTATTAGTATATAAGGTATTCACTTGAGCAATAAAACGATTCTGATCAAGCACAAGATTGGGGTCTGTGAAGTCATTCACCACATATCACAACATTTTTGAAAGAAAAATGTCAACATCTTGATTTCATGACTATACAATTAAACTGTAATAAAGGGCAGCTATCTCTTCTTTTCCTTCAGTACCTTCCACATACATAAGCAATTAAGATTTGATTATTAGTAAGAAGGGGAGGAAAGACCTGGTTCTGTTTGTGTTAAGTTCCTTTTTAAAATAATCCATAATGAAAAAAAAAAAAACCCAAACAAAAAAAAGGCCAGCTGACAAAAATTCCTTTGTCTGTCCCTTAGAAATGGAAAAAAAAAATTATTTTGTAACTACAAGCTGCAAACATGGCAAAACGATGCTGTAAGATATACCAAAGATTGCTGTAAGTACCCCACAGGTAAACAAGCCCTGTGGTAAAATCATACCACAATGGATAGAGCAAACTCTAATGACTGTCCTCTAGATGTCATGAAGTAGGAGAGATGAGAAGCTGGACGCCAGGGCTGCCATGCTTGAAGCTGAATGACAAGGTTGTTAAAGAAAAGCTACAGCAGGGAATCGGAAATTCATCGTGGTGCCCCTCTTGCTGCAGCATGCTCTGGAACAAGCAGTCTGTTGCTTAGACACTGGCGATAAACACTGTACCAAGCCTGAGAGAGAGGGAGACGTACTGCCACATCAGGTCCACATCAGACATTCTTGCTCTGTCACTCAGGGTGGATTTTGGTGACTTTCTTATTTTGATAAAAGTCAGAGAGAATATGCAGTTACACTAGTAGTACAGTGCCTTTGCCTTTATAGGTTCTATTGCTTACCAAAACAGCATGGTTTTTACATACATATATCTATGTATTTGTATATAAATACACATATAAATAAATAAAATGCCAACATAAATAAATAATTGCACCAGTGAATGTATACACATTAGGAGGACTTGCTATTACAACTTTACGGGCAGGTATTCTCTAATACAGATACGGCCTAATGGTCTGGGCCAGCAGGTGTTTCTTACAAAAGAAGATACCACAAATTCAGAGACTTGGAATAAGATACTTAAGAATAAGGATTGTAAGATTGTCTCATTCATATCTATATATATTTATTAAAAGAAAGTCTGAAGATCAGTGTTGAGTGAAGAGGAAATGAAGAAGTGGTGATTAACAGAAGTCATTAAAAATAATCTGTAATATTCAGAATTTCAATTACAAAATAAAAAGAATCATCCTGCTCTTGAAATTCCTGAAATAAAGTTTTCAGTATCTTTCATTTTACAGGGTCTGGCTCATTAAAAGCTGTGGCGGTTTAAAGGCATTCAGAGCTGGTGTGTGTGGAAGTGTGTTTCTTTCCTTCCGACTGTATCCCTCTGTCACCAAAAATCCAGGAATAAAACCTCGTAACACCAATGTAGTGTTAAAAGGCAGGCATTCTTTATTGCAGCGCTGGATGCACGGGGGATAATTCCACCAAACGTGCACACCTCATACCTTTACAGTTTATATAGATCAAAAATATGCATATTTATTTTATTCATGCATATTCGATATTATTCTCTTTGGCAATTGGTGTAAACTTTTCTTGCTTCTTACGTAAATTGTTGCACAGACTCAGTTACCCTCTTCCATTGTTCCTTTTTGAGTAGGTGGTATTACTTGAGTAGGGGGTCTGTGAGTCGGTGGTCGCCATCTCCCCCTGCTGGAATTACCTTTTGCCCACTAGGCTCGCAATCTTGGCAAACCTGGTGAGTTTCTTCAGTCCGCTTCACAGAACCACACTCCATCATTTCTCTTGACAAAAACACAATTACCCACTATGGTTAGCATTAATGGTTACCTAGAGAACAGACCCTCCGTTCCAAGACCTCATGTCCAGGTGGGTAGGGCTGTACCAGGACCATAGCAGCACTGTTCATGTTTATGGTTAACTGAGTCTATCTCCCTGGTTACACCTCTGTTAAACAAGGTATCACCTTTCCTGACAAACTCTTCCTCTCGGAGGTGCCCGACAGTAGAGCTAGAGTGTAGCTGGAGGCCTGGGGCAAGAAGACGAGTCAGGAGAAATCCTCCACGGAATCGCTTTGACATTGACCTCCCCAAGGACAAATTTCATCCTCAAATCTGGTCTGTCTTGACGAATGTTGTCCGCCTGGCAACAACGTCACGATCATGCAGTGCAGAATCTGCTAATCAGAACTGGGCGTACCTGCACCTACTGTCCCAAGTAGAGAAAGAGGTTGATGTTTAACAGGAATAAACGAGGAAGTCTTGGAGAACCACGTCTGGAGAACTCATACATGAAAGCGTTCCCGTATGAACAGATGGCACAGCCGTGGAAGCAGCGTCTCCCAGGAACCCCGGGGTGACACGGAGGAAGCACACCGAGAGCGCCATGATGAAGACTCCCGTTTGCAGAGTGGCAGCTGGAGGCAGCTGTTTCT